TTAGCATATTTCTTAGCAACTACTTCCTTAAGCTAGGGTCATGAGCCATTGTTTGTCTACTCTGGTGTTCTGGCTTGTGATTTTTCCTTGGAACTCTTTCACGCAAATTGAATTCTACTAGTCAATATACAGCTCATCCCAGCTGGGTTTTGATCATGCTACCTATCTTATCAAATCTAAAGTACCATGTCAAAAAATGATAATGCTCTCATCAGACTCTCTAAGACTCTCAATCGCCTCCTTCAATGTGTGTATACATATATATATATGACAAAAATTTATGATATTAATATGAAAATGAACATACGAAGCTAGGCCAAAAGGAGACCTAATCAAGAAAAAAATACAGCATATAGCACTACAAAAAGTGGAAAAAAAAAAAAACACAGCATATAGCCCTACAAAGTTAGGCCCTGAAGGCTACCGGGCTTTGAACCACCACCTAGTTGTCAGGCCATGATCATCCTTGAAAGAAAAGAAAGCAATAAACAGAAGGCCCAAATAAGGCACCAAAACCTAGCAAAAGGCTACCAAAAAACCGAGCAGCAAATCATCCACTAAGGTTGCCAAACAAGCCAAGCCATTCAAGGGGCATGCAATAACCTGCTTCATTAATCCGATCCCGAATTTCTGACAAGTCAAATATATATCATAGCATATTGCATCCAGTAAACCCACAGAAAAATAGCCACCACAACAGACAAACAACCCAGAGAGTCCACACCAACCAATGAAAGAAGGAGCTGAACAAATTATCAATTAGATTTAATTAATTAAAAAAAAAAGGATGAACAAATCAAGAGAAACCCTTCTTTTTCGATTTATGTCTGTCACGCTTGCCAATAACTAAGTTAAAACCATCCTTGATCCGTCCCACATTCAAACCAGATAGGTTCTGAGAATCATCAACAAGATCATCAATTAATTTTGTGTTGTAATAATTTTTGTTTTCCTACTTGTTTCTATATTCAACTCTTTACTGCTACATTGTGGGGTAATAAGAAATTCCATTAGCTGCTTCTTCTTTCCAGTCTCATGTTTCCCTGGTTATTTAGTTAATAGAATTAAGATAGTTATTTTATAATTAGTAGAATTGACCTACAAATTGATGCCCAATATTAAAATAAAATAAACGGATTATTTTTTATGTTTAGTTAAACACAATATCTCAAAAAGCCCAATAAAATTAATCCACAATTATAACCTGGTTTTAATAATCCAAAAAGCTAGATAACCCAAAATATCTAATTAATATTTGGAGGATTTACATAAATATCATAGAATTCTTATAAATTTATATATCTAACTTCTAAATTTTGATATTTATGCATATAACATTTAACTTGTTGCGTCCTGTAGTATTCGCGGCGATAGAGAAATATAAAGTTTAACATCTCAGCCTTGTATGAATATCTAGCACACAGACAGATGAAACAGAGAGGGTGCAGTATTTAACGAGGCACCAAGATTTTTATGTGAAAACCCCTAAAAAAAGGGAGAAAACCACGGGGCCTAGCCCAATTTGAATGAACCCACTAGTATTTGTAGTTGATTACAAATGAAGCCTTCCATGAGGGAAGGCCTTAGATTTATGTACATCATATAGAGTATATTACATAGTAGGAATACAAAGAATCACTATTATTGTGTTTATTTGGTCAGAAGGACCGTAGTCAGTGAGCGGCGTAAGTCGGAAGGACCGTAGTCGGTGTGTGACGAAGGTCATAAAGACCATTGTTTGATGATGGAGGTCGGAAGGATGGCGTCAGGTAGAATTCCATCGTTAGATAGAAGTCCAAAGAATGTCCGGGGACGAGCAGAAGTCTAGCATCGGGTAGAAATTAACCCGACAGAATTCCTGTGACTGGTGGAAATCATGCGTCAGGCAGGAATCCGGTGACGGGAATAAGTCTGGCGTTGGGTAGAAGTATGTTGATGGATAGAAGTTCGGTGGTGGATAGGAATTCGGCGACGGGCGGAAGTCCAACGTTGGGTAGAAGTCTATCGGTTTATATAAGTCTTGCGTCGGAAAGAATCCCGACGAAAGTCCGGCGACGGGCAAAAGTCCGACGTCGTGTAGAAATTCGGTGACGAGGGTAGGTCCAACGTCAGGTATAAGTCTGACTTCAGTCGGCGACTAGGAAGAACTCCAACGTCAGATGGCATTCTTGTAGAACTTTCACATCGATAGGCTATTGGGTGGAAGTATGACGGTGGTCGAGGAAGAGTATGGTGACAAGAGAGCTCTCTTTCTTCTCTTCCTTTTCTTCATTTTATTCTCTTCTTGCTTGAGCCTCCTTCTTCCCCCCTTTGGGGGTCCTCTTTCTATAAGAAATGCGTGGTCTATTTATAGTTTTCTGAGAGTGGTATGACCAATAAATAGGAGGAAGATCTTGGGTAAATTGTATGTGATTTGAATGGACAACCGATGTTGAATTCATTGATCTTGAACCGTTTATTAGGCATTTGAAGGCTTTAATGATGTCAGAATTCGACAATCTTGGGCTCGTTGGGTTTCTCTTGTCGAGCCGCTCGATTCAACTATAAGCATGTCAAGTTTGAAAACCATATGGTAATCCAAATTATGGTTTGAACCTTCCAAAGATGCTTTGAGTCTTTGATTCGGACTCATTTGGACCCGGATTGAGTCGAATTTGACGTCGTTGGGTTTGAATTTATGAGACACTCAATTGGACTATAAGTTTGTTGAAATCGAAGTTGAAATGGTCTACGAATTAATTTTTTAAGTTTCCAACTTTGATTTTACTTCGAGATTTGTGCCGATCAAGATAATTTTTTGATGATATATCACAACTCATCTGTAAGTTTTCTTCACTAAAATAAAATATGCATTTTCATCTATGTGATTAAGATAATAAAGTATTATATAAATAAATGTCTGAGTTAATTTACATATTAGATATGTAAATATAAAAAATTTTGTTATATATATATATGGATATGGCACATTAAAAATGTTTTAATTATGTTTAATTAGCTATAAAAACACACATTAATAAAAATAAAATAAAAAATTTAATTAATTTTAAAAATTAAAAGATATTAGAACACACACAAAGCACCCACCTCAATTTACAAGATGACAAGCTTTAGTCGTTAATCAATTGAACTTGATATTAATGATATTAAGAGTTGACAAAGACATTCACCCACACCCACTGTCATAATGACCCCCTCTCGATTTTATTCTTCAAATAAATGTTTAAATATTTGTTATAATTAGGGCTCAAATATTAGTGAATTTTCATTATTAATTGAAAAATAAAATGAAACAAATGTTAAAGCATTCTTTCAATTCTCGTCTTGCTTAGCTTCATGCTGTTTCTCGATCAAGTGCCTGCGCCAGATTATCCAGCTCACTTTAATCCGTTGGTTGGGAGCTTTGATTATCAATGAATAGGTGGATTCGAAGCTTACATATGTGATATATCATGCGTGCATGAGTTAGCTTTAATTGACCTAAATGTCGAAAAAAAAGACAAGTGCCCGACTTCTAAGTTCCAGTTGGCATAGTTCAGGCTTTAATTTTTTTTTTTGCTTTAAATACTTACTTATGTGGAGCTTAAAACCTCGTTCAAAAGACATCGTATTATATGTGTAAGTACTATGTTAAACGTAAACTAAAGCATTGGATAATTTTATCTTTGCTAAACTTTTTGACATCAACTTAATGAAAAAAATTATTAAAATTAACCTTTATTACAACACATAGGTATAAGTACATGAATTTTTAATCTCCATTGCGTCATTTTGAGGGTGAAATTATCATTTAAATCTAATAAAAAAATTATTTCTACTACTTTCTATTTTTTTTTATATTTATCTCTATGATCTAATACATCCACTCTTCTAACCGGATCATCGAAAAGCCGACATTTTATATTATCAAATCATCAAAGGCAACTCTCTTTGATCTCCAACTATTTCAAAATAAACCTTTATTAATTAACGTAAAGTTTTTATTCCTATTTAAAATGTGTACCATTTAAGTACATATCCTCGTCTCATAATCACATCATTTAATTCTACTATATAAATAGTGGAGTAAGAAATCAACACCTACCATTTAAAAAAAATCATATCATTCCTTTTTCAAATGATTCACCTTCTTTGAGAAGAACTTAAAAGAAGCAAGCTGGCGTATAATTAAAAGCCTATATTAGCTAGCTTAATTAACAAGCAAGCAGAAAACGGAAGAAGAACTGCAAATTTAGCTTCAATTAAATGAGTTGTTGATTTCTTCTTCTTCTTTTGGAAATTCATTCTTCTGTCATGCTATTATTGTAACGGTTCACTTCACCACACAGTTTTTTTTTTTTTTTGGTCACTTAAAGTAATTTCATATAGACATCACATACATAATACTCGAATTGAAGATCTCTTAGGTTTCGTTTGGGATAATTTTTTTATTGTTTTCTTAAAGCAACTTTGTATTACAAAATTAATTTTTTTGTACTAAAAAAGTTGTTTTAAGAAGCAATAAGAAAGCTGTACCAAACAAAACTTTAATTGATAGTCAAAATTCGCAACCGATAAATTAAAGAGAGTTATGTACTTCACCGCACACTTGCCAGATCGATCCTCTTTTAATTAAGGCTTTGTTTTGGATAGCTTTTCTCATTACTCTTTAAAAGAATTTTTTAGTTAAAAAAAATCTCTAATTCAAGAAAACTTGTAATTGAAAAGCTGTTTTAAAAAGCATTAAGAAAGATGTCCCAAGGTTCCATTGAAGGATTAGTTATGCTGTCAAGCACTCCCTTTATAGGTTCCATTGAAGGATATATATATATAAGTGCTTACAAATTTTTCCATTTGTATAAAAGTATATTACTTAAAAATATAAACCTAGGAATTAGATGGTCCTGATTGAATAAATGGCGAAAGATTCCATCTTCTTTCCTATATAGCTTGTATATATATGAGCAAGTCATCTCTACACGTCAATCACTGAATATCTCTCTCTGATTATGCAGGCCAGGATGGCGACACTCACCCTGTTAATCCTCTCCTTCCTCATCACCCTCACCACCCCTTCCCTCCTGAACGCTTCCCTCGCTTCCTCCTCCCAAACCGATAACCCTTCCATTCCCCAAACTTACATAATCCTCGTCAAGCCGCAAAACTTTAACTTCACCACTCAAGCCGCAAGAGACAACTGGTACGCATCCTTCCTTCCAAATAAAACCATCAACTTCATCAAATCCCGCCTCCTCCGCACCTATTCCGATGCCATCAGCGGCTTCGTAGCAAACCTGACTGTACAGGAGCTCCACCAAGTAGAGCGCCACCCGAGCTTCTTGACCGCAATCCCAAACAGAAACCTCCGCCTCCTTACCACCCACACCCCCGCCTATCTCGGCCTCTACCCCTCCCAAGGCTTCTGGAACTTGACCGCCAGCTTCGGCGCTGGCATCATCATTGGTATGTTAGACAGCGGCATCCACGCCTCCCACCCTTCCTTCTCTCACGATCAAGCCATGCCCGACCCGCCACCCCAATGGAAAGGCATCTGCGAGTTTAATTACACCGGCGCCTGCAATAAAAAGCTCATCGGCGCCCGCTCCCACACCCTTTGGAAAGACTTAAAATCCCCTGACGACCTTTTCGGCCATGGCACCCACACTTCCGCTACGGCCGCCGGGGCATTCATCCCCGGCGCAAACCTTCTCGGGAGCGCCAACGGCACTGCCGCTGGCCTCGCTCCACTCGCCCATCTCGCAATGTACAGAGTCTGTGAAACTGTGATGTTCTGCTCCACCGACGCCATTCTCGCCGGCCTCGACTCCGCTATCAACGACGGCGTCCATATCATTTCACTATCTCTCGGTGGACCCTCCTACCCATTTTACGAAGACGTCATCGCTATTGGCGCATTTAAAGCTATCAAAAAAGGAATTTTGGTGAGCTGCGCAGCGGGGAATGACGGGCCGTTTGATACCACAGTCGGTAACGCGGCGCCGTGGTTGCTAACCGTCGGAGCGAGCACAACGGACCGAAATGTTAGGGCCACGGTGAAGCTCGGCAACGGAGAAGAGCTCGACGGCCAGTCGGCTTACCAGCCTAAACGCTACAACGCGTCTTCGCTTTTGCCTCTCGTTAAGGGAAGCAACAACAAGGATGTTACTATGTACTGCTTGCCTGAAACCTTGCAGTCCATTAACGTGCGGGGAAAAGCTGTGCTTTGCTTCGGTGATAATAGTGAAGCGTTAGATACTGGTATAGTTGTCAAAAAAGCCGGTGGTGCGGCCATGATATTTGCTAACATAATACAGAATGGCTACACAACTATGGCCGAACCGCACGTCCTTCCCGCCTCTCATATCGATTATAACTCCGGCGTTCAAATCCTAAGCTACGTGAACTCAACAGCCAATCCTACAGCTTCCATTATTTTCAAAGGATCGATATTTGGGGTAACTCCAGCTCCAACGGTCGCTAGCTTCTCTTCTCGTGGGCCGAGTTACAGAACCCCAGGAATTTTAAAGCCCGACATCATCGCCCCAGGGGTGAGCGTGCTTGCGGCATGGCCGTTTAAGGTCAGATCAGAATCAAATAGGTTAACGAACATGAATTTTAATATGATTTCAGGGACATCGATGGCCACTCCGCATCTCAGCGGTATTGCTGCTCTTCTAAAGAGTGTTCACCGTGACTGGTCAGCCGCTGCAATCAAGTCCGCTATCATGACAACGGCAGACACGATAGGGAACGATGGGGAGCCGATAAAGAATGAGCTGCACGAACCCGCGAGCTTCTTCGACTTCGGTGCCGGCCAAGTGAACCCGTTGAAGGCAGCTGATCCCGGCCTGGTTTATGATCTGACGGTCGACGAGTACACATCGTATCTGTGTGGTTTGGGGTATACGAATGCTGAGGTGGAAGTGATAACAGGTACTAACGTGTCATGTGATGAGATTAAGAAGATCAGTGAAGCTGAGCTGAATTATCCGTCGATATTGGTTATCGTGCCGTCGGAGGGAATTGAGGTGAGGAGGGTGGTGACGAATGTTGGGGAGGCGAGCTCGTGCTATAAGGTGAAACTGGAGATGCCGGAAGATTTGGAGGTTGGAGTGGAGCCCGAGATGTTGCAGTTTACTAAGGTGGGTGAGAAGCAGGGATTTACAGTGCGGATCAAGGCGAAGAGCTCGGGGCTGACAAATGCACAGGGGAGCTTGAAGTGGGTTTCGGATAAACGTGTTGTTCGGAGTTCTGTTATCGTGTCGACTAAGTAGTTATGAACTGTCAGTTAAACTAGTAACAAGTTAAAAAACTGTTAGGAATTGACGCGTCATTGAAGATTTGTAAGCATTGTAAGCAGGTATTTAAAGTGAAAAAGTGATTATATTTCCTTAACCGGCACTTTCTGTACAGCAGAAACGTTGTAAGCAGGTATTTAAATTTGTGTTCTTTATTTTTTAAAGCAGCTTTCGGAAATGCTTCTTTTATCCACCAAGATTTAAGGTGGTTGATGAGCGAGTATAGTTGGGAACCTTTTATCTCGGATTTGAATCCCCACACTACGGTCTCGTCTCTTCAGTTGTGCAAAGCAAGTGAGTGCCTGATGTCTGTGAGTGGCCTCGCTAAGTTCCGTCGAGGAATTAGTTACACCGCTAAGCAATTATTTTGGAGTAGAAGCAGGTAGATACCCTCGTTGCCAAAAAAAATAAAACTTCATTTTTACAGTAATTTTACAACTACCTTTATAAAAAATTACAACCGCCCCAAATCTTGATGATCCAAAAAATAGGCCTTAGTTATGTTCTATGTTGAAAAGAAATGTTTGATGCACGTTTATTTAGGAAAAAATTTTTATTTTTTAAAAATAATTTTTTAATATATAACATTTAAATTTTTGAACTTAAAAATTATTTTATAAAATAATAAAAAAGTTGTGCATAAAAAATTTTAAATTTTGAACTAAAATATTCTTTTATGAGACATTCGATCACATGGAATAACACAAAAAACAGTTCTATGGCATGATGATCTAATTATTAAAAAAAAATCATGATAGAATAGATCTGCAAAGTACAAACCTATAAAAAGTTGTGCAGCGCATTTTATCTAAGAATAATCTGGTTGAAATGGAAGACTGATTTGTTGCATTTTAATCCCTTGTTTGTTAGCTCTCAACTTATTCACATAGAGGTAAAAGTTAATAAATTATCTTTTATCTTATATGCAGTTTATTTCTTGAATTGAAGCAGATAAAAATGTTAAACTTTGGAATTCTTGGAGAAATTTAAGTTTTTTTTATGTCACTATAAGAACAATTGATATTTTTGACATCCAAATTCTGTTGGAATTGAACGTTATCCGCCGAAAATATTAACTTTCAGATAGATTAATGATTGAAAATGGGTTGAATATAAAATGCGCGTCGAAAATGTATTTCTAACGAAAATAAAATAGCAAGAATCAATTTTTGCAAGAATGTATTCTCATAAATAGAGGTTAATTCCATATCGCAGTTCTCAGCTGTAGGATTTTCGCCAGCATTTTCGACGAAAGATAACCTCCAGAAATACCGACGATCAAGCCGCCAGTTATTTCCGATGAGATAAGCTATCGATTTCACCGATGGAATGGCTGCCTAAAGTTTCGGCGAACATATTCAGTCGAAAACGTTGCAACATTTTTATCATATCGATGTTACCGGCAAATAATCAGTCAAAATCTGTCGAAAACCTATACCATGGCCAAAAATTAAAACAAAAAATTGTCCTTCCTCTTAAATATCCTGCAACACAATAATCCAGTAAAACATACATATATCATATGCACATTTCAATTTCGAACAGAAATACTAACGATGTATACAATAAGACATATATTTAATCATAAAAGATATTCTGCAATTACCAATTAGTTCAAAAATAAATATCAAGTTCATTACACAATAAAAATAAATCATAAAATATGCGAAACACATGTAATAAATATCCAATAACAACAAAAAACTAATCATAATCAATTTCTTCATTCTTCTCCTCTCCCGATGCTGGCTGCTTTCCATTGAACTACTCCCTCATTTTATGCATGTCCTCCAATATTTAATTTTGTTGTATTTGTATCAACATTTGTATGTCAACTTGTGATTTTCAGACTTAATCTAGCTCTGTTGTAAAGGTATTCACCTGTTGGCTATAAAAAGTATCATGGTTATATGCTGAGAAACTGGAACAAGTAGACGTATGCCCTTCATATGCATAGACTTAGGGGGTCTAATCCAAAAACCCATCCTTTCCGCATTCCACCTACCGTTTGAGACCAAGTGGAGTAGTCAGAATAATTTGGTGCAAATCCCCCAAAAGAACCCTCACTTGCTCCAATATGGCTCTCTCGAAGTCGTGTACTATGCCTATAAAAGTTAATATAAAATTAATTGATTTACACATGACACTTAAAATATTAAACTTATATACTCATGTAGGCTCTGCTTTCTCGCTCAACAATCCATTATTGTTTCTCCTACCGCTTGTAGGTATGATTATGCAACTCAATAGTAAATGGTTCTCTACCCAATAACTCTTTCTGCAATATGCTTATATTAGCATTCATAACTAAATAAATTATTAAAATTTATTAAAATTCTTAACAAACGTCGGATGTGCTCAGTGTGTAGAACTGAGCCCTCAGTATGGAGTGAATAACTATCCATGACCCCCAACATCAGAAGATCTATTCTATCTATTTTGATCACTCCTCCTGTTATAATATGGGCTATGTACCGGCCCCAAGCACTAGTCAGCTCATCCAATACACTCTCACCAATCTAGAGGGATCGCTCTCCTAACTTCCTAATATACGTAAACATGTTTCATAGTAAACCGCGCTTCTCAAATTTTTTTGTAATCTTATCATTGTGCTCATGCAATAAGTAAAAATCTTTCTGCATATAAAAATATACAATATAGAATAGTTTTGTTAGCTTAATTAAAAAGATATAATATAAAAAAATTTTGCTAATAAGTAACATCAAACTCCCTAAACCACAAGTTACGTACACACTTCATTTAATATTTTCTTTCAAGAAATATAAGAAGCATCAAACATGCTTCATATGTTATTCCATATCTTATGCGTGAACTTTTTTGACAGATAAAATTTGCACAAAATATGTTATTGAAAAAACCTTCATCAAATTATCTTATTAGTAGTACAAATATCCTCAGTACATACATGTCACCCTCAAGCGCAATTAACATGTGACCATCTGACATTTATTCTATTGCAACCGGGGTGGAAGGTCCACCTGGCCTACATGTGGTGGTGATGTTAGAATGACTTGATATATGGTAGATGTGTTTATTTTATGTGGAGAGAGAAAATTGATCTAAAGTTTGGTGCTACTTATAATATCTTTACTTCTTTAGCACCCTGATTCTGAGAATTAAAAAGGCCTTATTGCTAAAAGTCAAGAGCTGGAAAAATCATATGGAAATCCGATCCAAACTGTGTATGAAATATATTGATGTGGGGATTATTTTCTTTTTTCAAGCTCGAGGCTTCTTTTTTTCGTGGATGTTGTGGGACTTTTTGTTCTCTTGTACAGCGATCAAGAGCCATTTCAGTTTGTCTTTGAGTTTCTGTGATCTATGAAATTGGTGCAGGTTCGTAATTTTCATGAAGTTATCCCCTTAGATGGCTTTGTTTTTCTAGGCAAACAGTGGATTTCTAATTCCTCATTTTTTTTCTGCTGGTATTATAAACGCTCTCTTCGAGTCCAGGCCACGGTTTCATTCTCTTCTTGATTGGATCTTGAGCGTTTTTCTTCAGTTTAGGCTAATATTTTGGTCTACCTGTATTGCCTTATAGACTTTGTTCTAGTTATCCTATGATGAATATTTAGTTATTTTTTATTTCAGTTTAATTATTGTGGAAGGGGTGTAAAACAGTTGAGTTTTGGCACTATCGAGCTCAGCTCGTCAATCGGAAAGCGAGCTTGAACTCGAGCTCGAGCTTGAGTCAGCACAAAAGGCGAGCTCGTCCCACTATAAACAAGCTCGAGCTGACTCGCGAGACTTCAGCGGAAGCTTTCGCACGTGCTCCAACAGGCATGCTTGGTTCAGCAGGAAATGCATGATAAATTTTTTTTCTAAATCCAGTTTACCGCCCAAATCCATTTCTCCCACCCGAACTCTGCTTTTACCACCCAGATCCTTTATATATGAATCCAGTTTTTTAGTTTTTAGTTTTTTTTTTTATAAAAGTTGCAGCATTTATTATAAAACATTTATTAAAAGTAATATTAATATGTTTAATTACTAGTTTTTAAAAATATTAATCTATTTATATATTAATTTTTTTAATATTAATAATGATTCGAGCCTGCTTGCTAGCTCGTAAGCGGAGTCATCTCAAGCTCTTGGCTTGATAAGCTCGACTCACGAACATGCTCAGCACACTTAAACCCCTACGTGAAAGCATCTATGCAATTTTGGTAAACTCCTTTTTGTGGCTGTAATTTAACTTTTGCTTTTGTACCCCTTTTTTATTGTTTGAAGAAATTATGGGATCTGCCCTAAAGTTCTAAAAAAAAGAAAAAAGAAAAAAAAAAATATGCAACTATGCACTCTCCAGCAAAAGCGTGCAAGGTTAAGGAGGAGTTAAAAATAAATAAAAAATAAATAAAAATCTGATATGATGACAAGACATGTTTGCTACCATAAATTTTTTTTTGGGACATTTAGGCCATTTAAAGCTCTGATTGTGAGGGCTTAGAAATCTCTCTTCATACTGGCAGTTCTGTTTCTCATACTGAACATATATAGATAATAACTGGTAAAAGCTTTCAATTAGTTTAATAAATATATGTATATTATATTAACTATATCTTCTATTTTCAAAATAAGTTTTTTGGCCGGGAGCCGACACCACTAGAGTTGCATACGAAGACTCACCAACATCAAACTGACCATCAATGGGTTGATGATAAGATAAAAAAAGCTCACGTGAGTATAATTTTTGAAGTACATAATAGAATATAAAAAAATTTAGGGATTTTTACATACATAATACTTCAAACTATTAAAAATACATATTTAACACCTAAACTTTTGTATTTACTAATATACCATCTAAAACACTCTTTTTCATCTATTCTAACACTCCGGCGACTGCGATGACATCGATGATGATCGGTGTTCCGTAAATACCTGCCGAATTGCTCAACCAAATTCTCGGGCTGCCGCCCCTTCCGTCGTCGCTTCAAAATGGCACGGATGCTTAC